AAACAAGTTTGCTTTTCTTCTTAGACTTAACGCAAGTTCGGTAAAACGTTTGTGCGTGTCAAACCAAAGGCCAGGCAGTTACGTCAACATAACCACATACGTCACGAACACTCCAAAAAGGCGCCAACTCAAGAGAAAGAAAAAAATCACGGAGTATTATTGCATACTGTCGCTCTACAGTAATTATTATACTTTTTCAAAGACAAGTACAGTGATAACTGATTTGTTTTGATATCCATTATTAGCTAATACATTTTATATTTATTTTAAAAACCAATAAAGAATAACAAAATACGCAAGAATGCTAGTTGTTCACTTCAGGAGCATTTATGTGTTAATAGAAGTGTATAATAACAAATACAGTTTATTATGGTGTTAGGTAGCAAAAAAGAAAATTATACTGGCCTGCATATTGTTTAATTTATCATCAAATTTTGAAGTAATTTGACCTAGAGGAACCTTAATATTTAATGTGTTCTATAAGGACTCAAATATGAAAGTCTTGTAATTATTCGTACCATTTGTGTATATATTCTTTATTGATAATAATAACAGAGTTGTTGAAAATCCTTAAGCCTCTCCACTGTCTCGCTAAAGATTGACGAAGGAATTAACAACAAATATTATGGTCAGTTAATATCCTGTTACAAACGTTATTATTTTTAAGTTAGCAGAGATGTATCAAGTATAAGAGACACAGAATAAAACATATGCATAATTATTATTACGCTTGTCGCAAAACATTAGTATTAGGCCTATTATATTTTCTAACATTACATTCTTTATCTAGTTCAAGATTTGAATAGTGTGTAATAGCATTTCAACCATACTGTGTTCTTCAGGTTGTTCTAACAGCCTTATATAAATAGTGTTCTGACCGCTACTGTGTTTGTTGTGCCCCAGCCGGCCTGATGAGCTCTGGATTGAGAGAAACACGTCGTTGGCAATGGATGAGGAGAACATAGTGTGGTTGAAATACTATTATTACTGATGATACGCTCTTCTAATTCTTGAAAATCCCCAAGAAACTAGATAAAAAAGGTAGTGTTAAAAATACAATAGGCTTAATACTAATATATTATGACAAGTATAATAATTATAATCGTACTTCGCCAGCTTGGAAAAGGCGTTCACACTATAACAATAAAATACAATTTAGGTTCAGAGGTCAATGTCGTAATTGTTAAAGTAAATAACAAAAGATTAATCATATTACTGTGAATATTGTTATCAATAATTAATGAATCTTAGGTAGACATACACACAATGTAACAATGGTATACACACGTTATAGGTATGTGAGAAACATGTATAGCCTCACAAAATTACCTTATTTAAAATGTGATATGCTTAAAACATGTGACAAAGGAAACATTAATTTCTTCTTTTTCTTGGAAAAGAAAAGGTATCTGGAACAATAACGTGGCCCAGCATGGCCAGGAGGTTATGGCGATCGACTCGCGGGTTCGAATCCCCATCACAACATGCTCGCCCTTTTAGCCGCTATTTATCCCACTATTCGTTGATAAAAGAGTAGCCCAAGAGTTGGCGGTGGGTGGTGATGACTAGCTGCCTTCCCTCTGGTCTTTGCACTGCTAAATTAGGGACGACTAGCGCAGATGGCCCTCGTGTAGCTTTGCGCGAAATTCGTAACAAACAATAACGTGTTTAAAAGGAAAAAAAGGTATTGCCTCTTGTAGTTTATTTATAAAAATGTATAAACTAAACTTTATAACAAAAAATTCTATGGTTAAGAACATCTGGCCTGTTTCTTTTAAAAATTTCCAAACATCTACAGTCAGCACTGCGTTTTTTTAAACTGACATGACCTTTTGGGAACTTTTTTAACCATTTATTGCACTTAAGATCAGGCTGTCGTTATTAATAGTTCCGGGAATGATTTATATTTTTACTAGACACAAACTGTTCATTAAAATATGCAAAGTATGTATAATGCAATATTATAATTTAATCTAACATTTAAAACTAAATTTGATTAATCTTCCAAATTGTATACGATACGTTTTATCAGTGTTATTGTGGCCGTTTGATCATATGATTTTTTAGTTTCCTTCTTGTTTTAAACTAATAATAATAAAATGAATATAAGTGTATGGTAGCAACGAGCTAAGCTTAAAAAATTGTAATTCTTTATTAAAACAAACCGCAGCATACTTTCCAGTTTCTTAACTGAGAATAACACCAGTAGGGGCACAGACGTGGCGTTGCAAGTAAATCACATGTTTAGTCCTATGTAGTGGATTTTTTTTTATGTTAGAATACTCTATCAGAATGAGACGATTAGCTTTAGGTTGTGCAAGATAAAATTTCAAGGACAAAGTGAAGGTATAAATGTTCATTATAAGCTTAGTTATGAGTTATGGAGTTGAATGAGCACGTGATTATATTAAGCTGTTCAGAGCTCGTATGTTCGCTTGCCAGAATGTACGTGTGTGTATGAAGACGTAACCATTAATTTCGTTATTTTTATACACAAATATTTTTTTTTTATAAGTAGTCATATAAGATAGTATTGGCTTTGTTAATTTTGAGGATCATACTTTGAAGACTCCATCGTTTCTTATTACAATATTAACACTATAGGGTGAGGTAATATGTTTCTGCTGGTTATCTCTTGCGTATCGGTTGCAACAATTAAAAATTGTTCGAGTCTCAACTGTCATTTTAAATAGTGCTATGTTTTACAGTTATGACTGAATTTTACGATTTCAATATTAATATGCTTAACACATTAAATATCCTTAATTATTCATCACACACGTTCCCACTATTTGAAAGCCACTAGTTTAAAATGTTTTACGTTATAACTGCGGAATATTGATGCATTGTATTTCACTACTTTGTGTACTAGTGAATAAAGATGGACATAATCATCTCTAGATGGGTTACCAGATTTCCATTTTTACCTCTCTACGGAGTGGAACTAACAACCCTAAATGTTTAAATTACAACATTTTTTTTTTTACATTTGCTATATAACCTGATGTTTACTGCATTGCGTTTTCAAACCATAGGCGAACGAAATTTATTAAAAGTTTATATAGTTAAAAATAAAATAAAAAACGCGCCTAAGTTGTTTTAACCTACTCAAGAACTCTTTTCTTTATCAGGACCTGGGAGGGTCGAGATAAAAATGTTTCTTTTTCGTGTGTTTTTTTTTCGCGGCTGCCCAATGACATGTCAGGTTAATAAGACGATTAGAAGGAAGGAACACTATCGTGAATTGTCTTTGTAAGGTGATTCTCAAGAAAAAATTAAATAGAGGTGTATAACGACAAACCATACATCCAACTCGCGTAGAGGTACAGAAAAACTAGGACAGTTTAATACTTTTACTGCTTCTGGTCGAGGCAAAAAAAAAGGTTAAAATTTGGGACGTTTAAAAACTAACCGTAGTCACTCCTTAAAATATCTACGCAATAACTGTGGTTAAATGAAGGTGCAGCTTGATCATCATTTTAGAATATATTACTAAATTAACCGTGTTTATAAATACAGTAATATTATTTATTTGTTGCCATAAATTTATGCTTTCTTTATTTCTTTTATTTATCTTAATTCAACTTGGAACTTGTTTGCATATCTCTATCTTAGTATATAAAATTAAAAGTATCATGATTTGGAAATATCAATCTCAAATTTTAAAATGTCAGTCGCTTATTATCGAGGTTTCACTGTGTTATACTGCAGTCGTCATCAGATAACATGACGATGTCTGTATACGCAGAATACCTATCTGCAAGCGTTGTTCCACGAGATAATAGTTGATTAGTGAAAGGATGAAAATTACTTTAAATATTTAAAAGAAAATGTCCCGAGTATCATATAAATACAGCTGTTTTCTTAAAATACAAAGAAATAACACGACGACCGTTTTAAGCAGCTTGAAAACTTTTGTCTTTTATTTACAAACGTTTGAAATTCTAAATTTCTTCAGTGACTTAAAATATATATCGCTCAAATGTCTGCATAGAAAGTGACAGCTTTTGTAAAACACAGTTTAAGTACAATTTATACAAAATGTAACTTTAGAAATACAAATGTAAGCAATCTTCTATTTTATATCAATAAAAATATACTGTATCAAAACATTTAGTATTAATGATCAAATTTCATGGCTTCCATAAAACAGGACTTCTTAAGACGCAATTTCTAAAAGTTAGATTCATGGACGCAATTTCTAAAAGTTGGATTCATGGACAATATTTAAATATATATTACTGTTTTCAAAGATTGTGCAAACCCTGGTTGGGAGACAAGTGTATTACAATCATAAGAAAATCACAAGTTTCAATATTATGATTTTGGGTCTTTCATACATTGATTGTACTGTCAATGTGGGTTTTGGACACGTCTCGTCTCATAACAATGCATATAAATCTACACATCAAATTGTTTTGTTTGCTAGTACACCTGTACAGTTATTTATTTCTAATTGTTGTAAAAATTATTACTGTTATGTAAAATATTTTTTATGGTAACAAACTTCAATCTTTTTTTTTATTTTTTTGCAGTTATTGAACAAAGCAAATATTCATACAATTAGACTTACATCTAACTTCTAGTTTAAGAAATTTTGAAATGTAAATCTTTACAAAATATTAGTGCACTATAGTTTTGCTATTATTTATTTACTTTTATTAAAAAAATAACTTATTGCTATTACCTTGGCACTAGTGTGGGAAGATACCAGGATTCTGTGGAAAGTGGAATCAGAAACAAACTTTTTTTACAAACACGAGACAGAATTATATATATATATATATATATATATATATATATATAGTAGTTACGTAGACAACATACTATTACTAAACTACTTCGTCTAGTATTAGTACGTTAACTTAACCTAAACTAACGTACGTAAGTTAAGTTAA